GCTGGCTGGGGAATTCTGGGAGTTGAAGTCCGCCAGGCTTAAAGTTGCCAAGGTTGGAGACCCCTGCCCCACACCATTTCTGACAGGTGGCAGTCCAGTCTCTTCTTGAAAGCTTCCAGTGATGAAGCTCCCACAACTTCCGAAGGCAAAGCTGTTCCATTGATTGATAGGTTCTCACTGTCAGAAAATTCCTCCTTGTTTCCAGGGTGAATCTCTCTCCTTGTTCAGTTTCCATCCATTATTCCTTGTCTGGCCTTCAGGCATTTTGGAGAATAGCTTGAACCACCCCCCACCACCCCGCGTGGCAGCCCCTCAAATATTGGAATACTTTCCGCTTCTTTTCCACACTCGGCTTTTTTCTTTCTTTTTTCTTCTTTTTTTCTTTTTCTTTTTTTTTTGGGGGGGGGGGTGCGGGGCTTTCAGCAGCGACATTGAAATTGGCGGGAAGGAAAGAGGCGCTTCGTATGTCTTGCCGGAATGATTCAGATGTGTGGAAGGGGATGATTCAGATGTGTGGAAGGGCAACTAATTCTTCACTCATGTTCTCTTTAGCTGCCTTTGAACAATGTATCTTAATGAATCAGGCGCAGGAAGCGTAATTAATACATTGAATGGCGGTTTGGGGTGGGAAAGCACCGGGTAATAGTGTGTGTGTGTGTGTGTGTGATTCAAGTCACCCATGACACATATTGATATCTCTGCTTTGGGTGTCAATAGCAGAACGTATGAATGAGCTCCAGGGAAAAGCATGGGGGTGGGGGAACGAAGGGAAAGAGCTCAGTGCTGTTTCTGCGTGTGAGAAGTGTCACGTTCAGCCCTTGGCATCTGCAGGTAGTGCTAGGGAAAGGGGAATCGGGTGAGCTCCTACTAGTTGTAATACAATTTGGTTTGGATCCAGAGCATCTTGTAATGTAAGCTAAGGCTGGGACAGTAGCATTAATTTAAAATTAATTAACGCTGTGGCGCAGTGGTTAGAGTGCAGTGTTGCAAACTATTTCTGCAGCCAGCTGCCTACAGTTTGGCAGTTCAAATCCCACCAGCCTCAAGGTTGACTCAGCCTCCCATCCTTCCGAGGTGGGTAAAATGAGGACCCAGATTGTTGGGGGCAATATGCTGACTCTGTAAACCGCTTAGAGAGGGCTGTAAAGCACTATAAAGCAGTCTTAAATGCTATTGCTATTAATATCCTAATAATAAATTTAATCACTATGGAACAGTGCAAAATCACGTGATTCAAGCAGACTTGAAAGACTGCGGACTTCATACAAGTACAAAGTAATATGGGGCGGGGGATCCAATACTATAAAGACAGTATACTTTGTTACTTGGTTGCAGTGAGTTTGCAGTGGATGGGAAATTGAGAAGAAAGAATGGAAAAGGACTTTGCTAAATGCCTGAAATTCAAGCAGGAATGTTTTTTATGGCTTTGAAAAATCTTTAATTTTTTTTTCTATTTAATTGCCAATTTAGAAGATTACAGGTAGTCCTCGAATTACAGCAGTTCATTTAGTGACCGCTCAAAGTTACAATGGCACTGAAAAAAGGGGCTTATGACTGTTTCTCACACTTACGACTCTTCTAGCATCCCTGTGGTCACAGAATCAAAATTCAGAAGCTTTGCAACTGACTCATATTTATGATGGTCGCAGTGTCCCAAGGTCATGTGATCCCCTTTTTTGCAACCTTCTGACCAGCAAAATCAGTGGGGAAGCCAGCTCCACTTAACAACTGTGTCACTAACTGAACAACTGCGGTGATTCACTTAACAACTGTGGGAAGAAAGATTGTAAAATGGGACAAAGTTCACTTAGCAAATGTTTCACTTAGCAACATAAATTTTGGGCTCAGTTGTGGTCCTAAGTTGAGGATTACATGTGTTGATTTAGAACTCACAGAGAACTGTGCAAAAATAGATTTAATGGTTTTGCATACTTAGTGGGAATTGATATGTGTATAGGGGTACATGGATTAAAATTATGAATAAAAAGTCTCCAATCCAGGGGTTTTTCTAACTAATCTTTTAATCCAGGGGTCCCCAAACTTGGCAACTTTAAGACTTGTGGACTTCAACTCCCAGAATTCTCCAGCCAGCTGGAGAATTCCAGGAGTTGAAGTCCACAAGTCTTAAAGTTGCCAAGTTTGGAGACCTGCTTTAATCCTAGGGTTCTGCAAGAATTTGGGATTCTATGGGAGGCTAATGGCAGGAAAAAATTGTTACTTGAATGCAGTCAACTTTCTATCTCTATAGCATGGCCTCTTGATCAGAAATTCTGGGAAATCATTTTTTAAAACAAATGAGTTCTGTGACATGAAAATGTTTGAAAATCTCTACTTTGTTCAACTGGACATCTTCAAAATATGTTGAAGCTACAATTCCCAGAATTCCGACCTAGAAGTCTTGGCAGTAAATAAAAGTTAAATAATAGATGAAAATTAGAAACAATGTAAATTATATCTTTAGGGGAAACAGGGTAATGTTTAGTTATTGAATATATGTGGAAATATTGACAGAACTTGCATTGTTAACAGAAATTGATTCCATCTTACTGTCAGTAATAATTCTTTATCCTTTGAAATACAACTTACTCCCATGCACATACAATCCTGTCAGTCTGCTTCTTTGAGGACTATGGGGTGTATTTTGATAGGCAGTATAAAAAAAATTATATAAACTCTAAATCCTTCCCAACTCTGCAAGAAATCAAACGATGGGTATTGAATTCTGAGCCTTCTCCAAATATAATAAAGCTGCACCCCAGTGTAAAGAATGTTATATTTAACTCAGCAGCAGGGTCCCTTTTCCTTGGAAACAATCTTCAGAGAATTCTTAACTTTAATGATGTGCTATTAAAAATTGGAGTTTTTAAGGTATTTCTTTTCTATCATTGAGGAAAGGGGGGTACAAATGGAGAAATAAGTCAGTACTGCTTTCCCCAGTTACTACCAGAACATCTGAAGGCACAAAAGAGACAATGTTTTATCTTATAATCTTGAGTTATTTAAGTGTCTCTTTTCTTGTAAAAAGCTTGCACATGAGAGAATGAATAACAGTACATGGAAAACTACATTTATTTACTGTCTTTACAGAGCACCCTGGACAGTGTAATACACTGTGGCTTTTTTTTTTTAAGATCGTTTTTTGTCAGTTTTACGGCCGAGTGGAGGTCTTTTCCAGATTTTCCCCGGGGGTAATGTTTTCTGTTTCCCACTCTAGCTGCCCAGTGTATAAGGAATCCAGCTGGGAGAAAATGTAATTATTTTAAATGTTGTTATATAAAATTGCAATGGGACCATGTAGATTTTTTTCCTGTTTTATTTTTCATTTTTTTTAAAAAAAAAATCTGCCTGTTTTTATAGTCCTTAATGGACGATCCCCCCCCCTTTTTTAAATTGAGCTTCTTTTATATTTTTACTTTTTTATGCCACTAATGAACCAGTGTCTCCTTCTACTTTCCCTGTAGGAATTCTGCTACCAGTGCACCAAACAGACATCAGCCAGTCTTGGGAACAACAAGTACAGAAGGTTGGTGGGTAGATAAAAAAACAAAATGATGACTGAAACAGTGAGTTTCATCCACACAACTGGAACACTTCCTTCCATGTAATTACAGGAAGTCCTTAATTTATAACCACAGTTTACATTGCTAAACAAGATAAGGGTTAAGTGAGTTTTGCCTCATTTTATCCTTTTTTTGGCCACAGTTGTTAAATGGATCACCGCAGTTGTCAAGCTAATCTGGCTTTCTCTATTGATTTAGTTTTTCAGAAGCCTCCTGGGAAGGTTGACAAAGGATGATTGTATGGCCCCAGGATGGTACAACTGTCATAAATACATGCCAGTTTCCAAGTGCTCAAAGTTTGATCAAGTAGCCATGGAGATTCTGCAACGGTCATAAATGCGAAGAATGATCATAAGTCAAAATCTTTGAGCACTGTTGTAACTTTGAACAGTCATTAAATGAATGGTTATAAGTCGAGGACTACCTGTACTGATGAGCTTCCTCCTAAATTTATCACATGGCAGTTGATTAACCATCTTAAAACATTCAATAAGATCCTTCTAAGTTCATTATAACCCAAGGAGCAGGAGGCCTGGATAGCCTTGTAATTTCCTTCTCTGTGGTGGTTATAAATCCCTAAGATTGTGGGAAAGTGACAGAAACCAGGTAATCCCAGGAAAATTGTATTGCTGTTACTTTCAATTTAATATATAGAAAATAGCATTGGCTTGTGTCTGGGGCTTCATTTGACTCTGCAAATAAATTTGTTGGGATTTTTCTTAAAGGCAATCTTCCCTGTCCCCAGCAAGGTTGCATGAAAAAGATGCCAGAGAATTGTGGTGATACAGCTGTATTGATTCTGTCCTTGTACGCTGTTGATATTTGCTGTCTTCCCCCAACATACTTTTAGCAAGTTAATATGACTCTCAACAAAGAAGAGGTACATTGGCGTATTATGCTGTGCTTTACTAATACTTTTGAAAGGTTGGACAAATATTTGTTTTACACGGTTCTAATATTGTACATAAACCTTTTTGATCCAGTCAAAAAGGAAAAGTTGGTTTCATCCCTTGCTATAATATTTGTAAAATTATTCACACATAATATCATAGATATCAATCATAGAGATACTTTTATGGTCTCGATAGTTGTAGATATAATTTCATGAAGAAGCTATCTTGACCTCTTTCAAACCATGCTTATTTGAGTGGCTTCTTGTTGTATCCATATAGTTAATATAACATGTGAAGGTAACTTGTACTGATTAACCATACCCCTTCACTCAAGCATGAGCATAGCTAAATTTATAGCTTATTAATATGGACAAGCTCTGTGCATGGACAAGCTCTGTCATAAAATAAACAGGGAGCTAAGTTAACTTGCACAGTCCCAAGGTCTTCATCTGCTTACTTAAAATTAATAGGTGTGGTGGAACAACCTTCTGCAGAGAGACTCATCTGATTTATGGAAGAACAGAAGTAGGAAAATGTTTTGTATTAACTGAAAAGTGGAGTCTATAATATAAGTATTACATTATTATATAAGTTCATGTATTACATAATGGGAATGGGAAAAAAACTTAGCTGCCAAAAAACTGAATAGAATGCCAACATTTATTCTTTTTTAGTATTATCTAAGTCTGGTGTTCTTAAAATGCAAGCTCTGCGATGGATAGAATTTATCACTTGGACTACATCTGGGATGGTCCTTCAACAATGGGACCTGTGTTCTCAGCAGGTCTCAGGACATTTGGAAAGAGGGAAGGCTTTTCTCCACCAATATGAATGTGGTGTTCCATCCTGCAGTGTCCTATAAAAGTTATTTTGTATTGCAAAAGTTTTGTTAATTATTCCTTTAAGATTATAGGTAGTATCTCTACTACAATGAAGTTTCAGGGAGGAGCTACCTTCAAAAAATATATGTAGCAATATATTCTTGTTTCAGCAAGCTTCGCCTTTCATATTTATGGAGTTGGCTTGTATTCCTGGACTTCACAAATAGGAAAGCCATCAAATCTGAAGCTGTCTGTAATCAACCCTTGAGGCCCTTCTTGTTCGTTACTATTTATTACACTGTAGCAACTTTCATGCCATTTCAATCTGGTTGTCTCTTAACAAAAGTCATGGCGCAGTCAGCATTAGCCAAAATAACATAATGACAACTAATTTAATACATTGAATCAGTACTCTTGGCAACACATCTCAACCAAGGAAATAACTTCATCTTCAATCATTCCCAAAAGGCTCTAAAAACATAAATCTTCACAAACCTCACGACAGAAGAGGTTCCTCCTAACTCCAAGACAAGCTATTTCCCAGAAAATGAGTCCCTACAGAAAATAGTCCACTTCCTTCCCTAAGATTCCCTAAGGACCCCTGTAGGCACTTTTTATTTGCTCATTTGAAAAGGCAGATTCTGTTTGGATTAGACCAGGGGTCTCCAACCTTGGTAACTTTAAGCCTGGAGGACTTCAATTCTGGCTGGGGAATTCTGGGAGTTGAAGTCCTCCATGCTCAAAGTTGCCAAGGTTGGAGACCCCTGGATTAGGCAGTTTTGAAGATTCTGTGATGCTTGCTTAGGCAACGGGCCAAGAGATCCTTGTCCTAACTTTATGTCATGTTAGCATTAAAAAGGTATTTTAGCAGTTGTGTAGCTTAACTATCTTTAAACAATGTTATGCTGTATTTTTATTGTCCTAAGAAGGCTTGCATGAAATAAAATATTTCTTTTGAAAAAAACTGGAAAATGCCTTGCAAGGGTATGAATATTTTAAATAAATACACATGCTTCTATTTAAAACATGCTTGCAATTATTTTGGGAGGTGACAGTTGATTCACTTCCAGCAATGATTCTAAAAGCAGATGGTATCCATGTCAGAAATTCATTTGTATTTGCTTAGAATTATTAGAAACCACAATAGTTATTAGAATCTTCTTGTTTCCTAGTTAGTTACGTGACATGGAAACTTACTCCCACTTTATTTCATTTCCTGAGAATTTTTTATGATTATTTTGATACTGACTCACCTTTAATCTAACACAGAGACAAAAGACAATACAAATATAGAGCAGACTTTCCAAACAAGAGGCCATCCAGGTTTGTTGGAACTGCAGTTCAGAATTCTCAGCCAGTACTGCTGTGCACTAATTGGGAATTCTAGAATTCTCAGCACCAAGACATTATTAGTCCAATGAAGAGACAGACTAGGAGTGACAAGATGGAAGTTTTCCAATATTTGAGGTGCTGTCATAGAGAAGAGGAGGTCAACAACGAAGCACCTGAGGGCCGGACAAGAAGTAAAAGGTAGACACTTATCAAAAAGAGATCCAATCTAGAACTAAAAAGAATTTTCCTGACAGTTAGAACAATTAATTATGGAATGACTTGCCTTCAGAAGTCGTGGGTCCTCCATCACTGGTGGATTTTAAGAAGAGTTTGGACAGCTATTTGTTTGAAAGGGTCTCCTACCTGAGGTCCCTTCCAACTCTGTTATTCTGTATTTAAGTACTGTCAAGTTGGCATAGGCTGAAAGTCAGGACATTGTTTTAGGAGTTTACTATAGAAGCTGGTTGAGCTGGATTTGGCAAGTTCGTATTAGGACAGGGGCCTACAAAGTTGGCAATTTTAAGACTTGAGGACTTCAACTCCACCGATTTCTCAGACAGCCATGCTGGCTGGGGAATTCTAGGATTTGAAGTCCACAATATGACATTGCCAAGTTTGAAGACCCCTGCAAGACTTCCACCCTAATGGTGGAAATATTTTTAAATACAGCTTGTTGGGGCAAAGAGCCAGGATCATGCTGAAGATGCCAGGACACTATGGATGTGGCTAGCCTGCAATTGCAAGCATGCTTATTCAGGGAGAGCAAGGGCTCTTTCAATTGACAGTGGAAACAAAATTAAACTTTGAGGTCTTCTGTTTGATCACCACCTATGTACTGCACATAGTGCAACCAGAGATAATGGCAAATGCATGAGTGACCACCGCCTTTTCTAAGAATTCAGGTATCATGTATATATTTCTGGAAGAGAGATTAGCCAGGGCTGGCTTTCTCCCATTTTGATACTTACTTGAACACATCTTACTTACATAGAAACTATTTGAACTAAAGCCCTATTACTTCAAGTGGGATGGGAACGATTCAGTTGTTACAGTGGTTCCCAAACTGTACAGGATGCCAGAGAACTCCTAGGGAGTTATTTTCAAGAAGAGAACTGTGGTGGTTAAATAATCTGTGCTGTAGCTGAGCTTTAGTTATGCTTTTCCTAAAAGTGGTAAGGAATGGCTATTGTTAGGAATATAAGTCACCTAACAGGTATTTGGGTTAGAAATATATAAACCAGGATAAACATTTTTAGTACTATGTCTTTAAGAGATTGCAAAAACTGCAATTGGGTGTGGTTTTTGAAACGGCCATAAGATGGGGCCAGAAACCTGGATTGTTTTAGTCTTAGTCTCAGAAGAGAGTGTGTCTGAGTGAGTATCTCTGTTTCCTTCTGTTGGAAAGTATTGCCGTTCCTCCATTTTTCCTAATTGACTGATATTTCTGGATTTGATGTAAGTCTGATACTGAACTGTTTTTTGACACTGGAGTTTGATATTTGGATTATCCCTGGATTGAAAACTGACTGATTTACCTATGAATGACTTTGGACTGCTTATCTTGAACTTTGCTTAAACTTTCTGGAAGTAAAAACCTACATTTACTGTACAGTGTATCTGTGTACTGTGTGTGTGTTATTCAAACACTACTCTCTATACGTCTCCCTGTATGCGCTCATTCTCCTAAAGGGGAATTACCTCAACAGCTACATTGAATTTACATTTACTAAGGCCATAAATATAAAAAAGAGCCTTAAGAATTTCAGTCTGCCGTTCGCTGGAGTACAGATAGTCTAGGATCATTTCTGCAGCATGGTAGTAATTCTGAACCTTCAACTTGATCTCTGACATTTCCTAGCTTCTAAATCGTTTGTTGATCACATGAGATACACCTGATTCAATAATTACGTTTCCCTGCTTC